GCATGGATTTGGGCCTTTTCTTTCCTTTTTCTGATAAGGTTGGCTAAGGGTTTGTCAATTTTGTTGATTCTTTTGAAGAACCAACTCTTGGCTGCGACTCAGGACCTCGGTAGGGTGTGCACAGACCTGCCTGTCTGCAGCAGGCTGGCTGGGTGTGTTCTGCGTGACCAATCTAGACTTTTTTAAAAAGCATTAAATTATTGTGTTTCCTATAAAAAGTATTTTTAAAAGTTGTAGCAAAAACATACAACATTAAATTTACTGTCTTAGCTATTTTTGAGTGTACAATTTTAGTAATGTTATGCACATTCACATTGTTGTGTCATAGATCTCCAGAACTCTATCATTTTGCAAAACAGAAACTCTGTACCCATTAAACACTTAATCCCCTTTCCCCTCTTCCCCCAGCCCTTGGCAACCATTTTTCTACTTTTGAATAGAATTTTTTTTTTAATTTTAATTTTATTGGTACAATTTAGATATACATAATGATCACATTCATCATAGGGAATTTGTACCTGTACATGATGTTTCTTGATTCTTCTTTTTCCCCCATTCCACTCTCCTCCCTTCAACCTCTCTCTTCCTCTTCTCATTTACAAAAGCCATGCATTTTTCCTTTTTTTCTCATTTTTTCTTTTTCCTTCCTTCCTTTTCCCCTCCCCCCCTCTAGTTCCCCTATACTTTGAACAGTTTTTTTCTTATTTCATATTGTCTATCAAACATTTTGGTCCCTATTTACACTTTCAGTTTCTTACACCAGAGCAACAATGTGATATTTACATGTGTATCCGATTTATTTCACTTAAGAATATAGCTTCAAGGTGTATCCATTTAGCTACAAATGTCTCAAGTTAATCCTTCTTTATGACTAATACTCCATTGTATACAGAAACCACATCTTTTTAATCCATTCATTGGTTGATGGGCATTTGGGTTGTTTCTAAGATTTAGCTATTACAAACTGTGTTGCTGTAAACATGGGTGCACATGTATCGTTGTTATATGATACTTTTAATTCTTTTCGGAAGATACCCAGAAGGGGAATACCTGTGTCAAATGGGACCTCTAATCCTAGTACTATCCAGACTGCACTCCTAGCAACAGTGAAGAAGGGGTTTTTTTTCCCCCAAATCCCCGCTAGCATTTGTTGTTGGTTGATTTCTTGATAACAGCCATTCTTTCTGGAGTGAGGTGGTATCTCAGTGTTGTTTTAATTTGCATCTCTGAAATGACCAGTGATGTTGAACATTTTTTCATATGTTTATTTGCTATTTGTACTTCTTCATTTGAGA